GGGCCCACAATGCAGGCAAGAAAGCCAGTCAGTGAAAATGGAAATGGAGGAGTCAGGCAGGAGGGACAGGCTGGGGTGGGTGGTAGGGGGAAAGGGGGATGTAGCAGCACAGGTAAAAGTGCAGAGGTGCCTGGGGTGTCAGATGTCCAGTAGGTCACAGCGTGCCACAACTCCACTGTGTATATGGAGTCCATGAGTTTCTGTACCTACTGCCTAGGAGGATGATGAAGTTCAGTTCATAGGCTCAGCTCTGAAAAGTGGTTTGCATTGTAATTTGTTCCCTCTCAGGATCAGGCCTGAGAGACTGGAGGCAGAGTGTTTGTTGGGGGAGAAATGCGCCCCCACAGGTAGTTGGGTTTTGTTGTCTTTGATAGATTCTAGCGTGCAGTTTGTGGGGTACTGGAGATAGTTGGCAGCTTTTGTTTTTTGAGCTGTAGGAAGATGGCTTCAGTTCTGGTGATGACGTTAAGTGCTTGTTTGAATGTACAAACTACTTTTCAGAGCTGGATGGGATCACTGCCGACTCACACAGGCCTAATAGATATATGTATTATAAGGGTTCAAGATGGGCAGCAGGGGTTAACTGGATTTCTAAAGAGCTTGGGAGACACACACACAGCTTCTCCTGGCCCTGCAAACAGACGGGGTGTCTAGCACAACAAGGCAACAGATGGACACAGCCTGAGAATTGATGGGGACATGCCATGACACAAGATCACAGCCTTCAAGGCAGACAGGCTGTCTAACCCAACAAGGACACAGAGCCTGGGAACTGAGGAAGTATATACCATACTGTCCCATAACACAAGATAAGTGACACCAGCTACAAGGCCCCAGAGCAATGGGTGGGGGCTGAGTCCTGGTTTTGGTGGAATACACCAAATTAGGAGAAAGCCAGGAAGGCTACGTGGATGTGTGACCACAGAGAGACAACCAAACAAAGATAGCCACTGATGAAGAGTCATCAGGAGTCATCAATGGTGTAGGTGAATACAAAAGCAGAGATTTGAGATTGACAAAGGGTCCCCCCCTTTATCCTGTCCCTCCCTGTTCCTTCTCATCCCACCCAGGTTCCCCCTCCTTCTCCTTCCTGAGAGAGGTCCCATCCCCATCCCCATCCCCTGGGAAGGGACCTTGAGGTCACCATGGACAGAGGGCACATACCAGCAGCCCACCTCATGTGCCCCACTGGAGGGGGGCTGTGCGCCTCGGCATCCAACCTCCCAACTGCTGACACCTAAGAGAAAGTCTCATAAAGGAGCCTGCATGCTGACCAGATGTACTTTGACTCTGATGACAGCCCTAGCATTGGTAGATATAGAATTGTGTGACTGTATTGTTGCTGTTTTGTTATCCCTCTGTATCAATCCCCTCGCCTATAATCAACTGGCAGGTGTTGTGGTCCATCTGAGGGTTGTACTCATCTGGAACAAAGGTATATTGGCTGGGTCTAAATCCAGTGCCAACAAGGGCAAGCTGGGATCCCATTGCACACTGACCTTGGACACTGTAGAGCCTGGCAGTTATCAGGAAAAGCAAGCACAGTGTCATGATCCCAAGCAGCAGGGGGATTGGTGCCCACAGGAGAGATGGCTGCATGGGCTGTAGCACAGAAAGGGAGAAAAAGTAATTGAAAAGAGATGAGAAGTGAAGGCTTCCTACCTGAGAAGAGAGGTTGGGCTGGAGTGTTGGAGCATTTCCAGACTAGAAGAGACCCTCCAGAGGGCAGAGGAGCAAATTGCCAAAGAGTGGCTGGTCACTGTACCAAGAGGCCTAAAAGAAGGTTAAAGGGAGCAGGGTGCACAAGGCCAGGAGAGCTAGGAGACATGCTTCCTTTGTTCCAAATATATACAGCCAGGATTCAGACTTGGGTTTGATACATAACACAGCCTGTACATGAGAGAAAAATTTTAGGGATAAAATGTCTGTAATTGTGAAGTCTTGTGAGTGCAAACAATCTGCTTATTATGAGCAGTACTGGAGTGTGTGGATTCAGGAGCATATAAGTGTGATGACTATAAAGTGTGATAGAGACCAGTCTTATTCTTCACAGCAGGGTTTGGGGATGAGCTGGTGCAGCCACATCCATCTCCTACAGGAGTCCTCTCGGAGACCCAAAGGAGTGAGCAAGCAACATTGAGGAAGAGCACTAGGGTTCCTTGTTTGTTTCTGTTGGGCTCTGAAGTAGCCTAGGGGAATCAGAAAGGCTCAACTTAAATCAAAGCTAAATGCACAGTAGTCCCATAGCCCCTCTCTGTCTCACACCGTACCTCTGCACTTGGCATGCAAACGGGTCTGTTTCCGGTGCTCTGGAGGAGTTCCCATGTGGAGGTCTGACAAAGTGTCCTCCTGCTATTGCATTCACAGCAGATTCCAGCAGAGATGATTTAGACATGACTGAAATGGATTCCGGGTTAGGATGTGAGGACGCACTGGTAGGTCCAAAAGTGACTCAGACACAGAGTGCAGCCGCGTGGGCTACAGCTGAGAAAGAAATGATCACTTGTCCTAAGAGAACCATGGTTTCCAAACATGTTTCCTTTGTGAGTCCAAGCAGAAGGGAATGAAGATTTGAAATAATTTTGCAAAATAAATTCGGGAAGAGAGAAAGGGAGAGAGAGAAAGAGAGAGGGCGATTCCCTCCTGAAATGGCAACATCCTTGGCACTCTCACTAGACATAGGAAAGTCAAGATGTCTCAGCATACTCCTTGGGCGTGGGTATGGCAGGTGACTAGATCACTACTGAGTGATGCATTCAGCTGCCATAGCCAGGGGAATGGTCTGTGAGATGAGACAACAAAAAGAAAAGACCAAGCTCAATGATTTTACCCCTGACATTCCCCACTCTCACAACACACCAATACAAGCAGTCACATGCCTGTGTCTGTCCTGTGCCCTGTGATGTGGCTTGTGAGGCTGCAGCTCCCTCAGCGAGTGGCAGTGAATTCTGCTCGCAGGTAGCGGTGCGCCCTCCTGCTGCCCCAGCACAAAAATTCAACCTTCCCAGAGCGTGAGCAACACATGCTCAGTGGTGAACTCTGCTTTTCTGTAAAAAACACAGCACTGTATACCAGGCCCCCGGGACAGGATTCGGAATAGAGTACAATTGACTTCCCAGTGTCCATCAGTTTTCACAGGAATCAGTGGATTTGGGGAGAGTATTTGTCTTGGGGCCTCTGAGAACCCAGGCCTTGATGCACTGGGCAAAGGCATGGGTAGGAAGACAAGATGCATGGGACATCCCTGCTCAGTGCCAGTGAAGGGCTGTGGTGATGGAGGGGTCTGAATATGTGTTTGGGGGCTGAACTGTAAACACTCGGGTTTGAGCCTTTTGGCCCCAGACTTTGATTCAGTGGTCACAGGGAGTCTCCACCAGTTCAGTGCTGCTGTGCGGGGATGGCTGTTCAGACTAGGAGGAGTGGTCAGCAATGGAGAAGTGGCTGCACATGAGCATGAGACACATGGGTGCTCCCCTGGGAACATGGCTTTTCTATGAAAGAATATAGCCCATATTCCAGATGCCTTTACACAGGATGTTCAGTGAAGCCCAACGAGGTTTACACTCGCAGCTCATTACCTCCCGACACGACGGGTCACCAGTAGAACAGCCGTCACTACAACACGTGTCACTCTTCAGCGGAGCACAACTCCTGGGGGACAGCTGTCCTAGGCCCCTGGGACTGCAGCCCATGAACCCGAGTTATCTAACCTCCTTTTACCCCTTCCCAAATAAAGCCCTTTCTTGGATGAAGAAGCATCCGGGTAACAAGGCTTAGCCCTGTACCTAGGCTGCTACATCCCTGGTGCACACTGCTACTGGCTAACAGATTCCTTAGGTACCTGAGCTGACAGGCCTGACATGGCTTTCTGCCTGCCCCTCTGGATTCTCCACTTGGTTCTCCAAACAGATCTCCTGGCTTCTGACTTCTCAGCTTCTCCTGACCCTGAGGTGATCTCCAGTCCCAGCCACTCACAGCCTGGTAGGACACTGAACCTAGTAGAGTTGCCAGGGTGTGTGCCGCTGTTTCTGACCTCTTCACCCCCATTATTCATACAGAAAGACACAGGGATAATGGGCAATGGTTTATTTCAGAAGCAAAGGCCAAATCCCATAGCAAATAGAGAACATGGCATCTCCACAGGCAAATGTAGGAAACCCATGCCATGGGTCTTTGGTAGTCGGGCAATTCCAGGCTCTGCGCTGCAAAGATCAGGGTGCATCTGCACCTGGGGAGGGGCAGTCACTGCAGGATGCAGGTGTTTTTCCCTCTCTCATTTTCAGAGGTCTGCAGTACCCCTATGGCCATACACACCCTTGCCTCCTGGGTTTTCCTCTCTGCCCAAATGGTTGCCAATGGATACTCAAAATACAAAATGGAGAAGTGAGATCTGGGGGGTTAAGCAGAAAGGCCCCATGTCTGTTGGCTCCAGCACATGCAGCTGTGTTGCTTAGGAACTGATTCAGGAAATAGGCACACATAAGACATTCCCAAGGAGGCGGAAATAAATGATGTTGGCCTGCGTCTATGTGGCATGCCAACCTACCCCGAGCTAGCAGCCCCACTGCCCCATGATGCAATTTAAGGTTTTCTTGTTCTCCCTGAACACAAACAGCAGAGGTCTCCAGGTTCTTGGATGAAGGGCGCACTTCCACACCACCACACTCCTCTCCCTGCTGCAGTTATGGCTTTGATCAGTCCCCCGTGAGCAGCACAACTGGTGGGGTTTTCCTGTTAATGTGTCCCTACCGGTTCCTTCCTTCTCTTCTCACAAATGCAGAAGTGAGTTTCTCTGCAGATTCCTCCAGCCTTAGCTCTCCCACCTTCGATATAGGCACAAACTCTGTCCTGATCATTCTGATGACTGAGGTCTTGGAGATCAAACCTGGAATGGAAGTCCAGTGTTTACAGTTCATGTCCACCTCCTTGAACTCACCACACCAAGACACAGGGCTGGGGGGCTCTCGGACCTGGTTGTACCTACAGTGGGCTATGCTGACCAATGACCTAACAGAAGGAGGATCAGGGATGGTTTGTTGCTCAAGGCTGGAAGTAGCTGGGTAAGACTAGACTATCTAAACACAGGATCCCTTCATGCACATGGCATGTTGTACAAGACAGGGTGCACTAAAAAATCACGTTCTGGCCATCTCCACCTCTTCCTCACCTAATCGTCCCCTTGCCAGAAATTGCTCCTGGAATGAAACATGGTGGGTGCTCTAATTTGTGTGCCTCCTATAGCCAACTGTTTTTCTCTTGAGGGATCTCCATTCCTATGATGAGAGAGAGAAAATTTTCCATACTTCCATATGCAGCCTTAGATCACCTGAGCGCACACAGAATCTATCATATAAACTCAAGTATCAAGTGGCTCTTCAGTATACCACCTCCCCTTTCCCAACGTCTCATCCTCTGTTGTAATGAACAAGTGCTGTGAACCTTGAGTAGCCCAACTGGCTGCCCTTTCCAAAGTTATGATGGACCTTAGAATACAGAGTTGTTATGGAGAGAGATGTTAGCAAAGTGAGGAGCTGTCATGGCCCTGTTTCTACCCTCTGCTGTTGCAATCACAGACTTCCCCAGGCCTCTGACACCAGTTTCTCTTAGACTTTCAAACTGTAGGTCTGCTTGTGGTGTGTGAGGGTGAAAGGCCCCTCACACATGGAAAGAGTTAGATGTGATCAGACCACAGATCTGTAGGAGCATTGGGAAACAGGAGTTTATCACAAGCAGGTCCAAGGAGGTGATCCTTCACCTCTGTGCAACACTGGTCAGGCCACAATTGGAGTACTGCATCCAGTTCTGGGCACTGCACTTCAGGAGGGATGTGGACAGCATTGAGAGGGTCCAGAGGAGGGCAACTCACATGATCCGGGGACAGCAGGGCAGACCATACAAGGAGAGGCTACTGGACTATAATCTGTTCAGCCTTCACAAGAGAAGGCTGAGGGGGGACCTGGTGGCTGTCTATAAACTTACTAGCTGGGACTGGGAGAGACCTTGTTTCCCCGAGCGACTCCCAGATTAATAAGGAATAACGGCCATAAGTTGGTAGAGAGTAGGTTTAGACTAGACATCAGGAGGGGCTACTTCACAGTCAAGGCAGGTAGGATCTGGAACCGTCTTCCAAGGGAAGTGGTGATGACTACTACCCTGGGGGTCTTTAAAAGGAGGCTCGACATTTACCTGGCTGGGGTCATTTGAGCCTAGTTTTCTCTCCTGCCCATGGCAGGGGGTCAGACTAGAAGATCTACAAGGTCCCTTCAGACCCTACATCTTTGAATCTATGCATCAAAGGGTGGGGTTGTTTGGGACCAGCACTAGTAGGCGAGTCTATTGCCAGGTGAGTCTCTAGCAAAGTTCAAGACCCCATTTGTCTAGTGCAGTCTTTAGCCCTCGTCTCCAGGGTGAATCACATAGTGGTGGGAATGATGCACATTGGTGCAGATGCGAGGGCATCCTAGTGACACAGACTTACAAGCCAGAGGAGAGATCCGAGTCATCTGCCCAAACCCACTTCCTGGATCCAGGATCATACGACAGTCCAATCCAGAATGTGTGGTACTGGGTAACACCATCATGATCTTCAAAATAGTGAAATGATTCTTTTTTTATGAAATCCTAAAATACAGAGAAAATTAATTATTTCAGCTGTCGGAGAGTGAGAAAGCCAGGAGAGCGCTAGCTGGGTCCTGCCAGTTCCCCACACACACTACTCCTGCAGGCCTCGGTGCAGAGCTCACCCCTCTACCTAATGTTGTGTTCTCACTTCCAGGGTTACAGCCTGCTTGCTCACCTACAGTTTACTTCCCAAAACCAAGTGAATTTGGCCTGCTATATTAAATGTTGCAGCCCGGATCTTGTGTTTGTCAGAACATTTCCATTAATATCTGTGAAGTTAGTTAAGGGTGCAGACCGGAGCTGGGTTAAATATATTCTCCCAAAATTCACAATGGGAACAGCCCTGGGGCCCAGTCTTTGTTTGCCAGAGGTTACACTGCAGCCTTGGATGTCTTCCTTAAACCACAGTTTTCCCCTTGAGTAGTGGGTTCAGCTATCACACAAATCAAACCCCTTCACACCTTCTAACGTAGAGGGGGGGCCAACTGAGGAGATGTAGGAAACTGGAGCGCCAGGCCATGGGGCTTTGGTTATTTTATGCTCACAGAGTATCCAAAGGAAAAAAACACAAAGTTTGTGATTCCTTTCACAGACAACCATACTGCACATGGGGACCTATCAGTGCAGACCCTTTTTCACAGAAGATCCTACATTTTTTGGAGTCTAAAATCTCTTTAGAAATCAGGCTGAGAGTGCAGACTATTGAGATGCTTGTGCTGTTTTGGCCCTCGCTGGAGATGATTCAGGGTTGAGCAAACTTACTCACAGTACAAGACAGATGGTGGGCTCTGCCCAGTCCTTCCTGAAACATAAGGCATGGCTGCTGATCCCCACTCTGCTCCCAGGCTAGTTTGCTTGCCTGACAGTGTCATGTTCTTTCTTTCTTATCCTGTACTGCTGTCTACAGTCCCCTAATTCCTATGCCAAGAGTGAGGAGGTCTCCAGCGTGTGTTGCACTTACCAACCCACCAGCCCTCAGGAACCTCCTGTTGGAAATCCCCAGTTGAGACCATGCCAGAGAAAGCCCAGCCCCTAGACCTGGCTGCTCGGGATCTATTCACCTAGACATTTTGCATTGATATAGTATTACAGGAAACATTCACTCACAAGCTCTTCTCCACCCTCAGTGGTGAGTAGCTGGGCAGATTGTGAAATGCAGGAGGAATGACACTTTTCCCAAGTTCCTTTTTCAGGAGAAAAGAGATAGGAACTGTCCTTGTGGACAACCCACCGTGCTGGACACTTCTCCCCTAGAACAAACACACACCAAGAATCAGCTTCCCTCATCCCCCATCACTCCTGTGCTGGAGACAGAGGGATTTCATGCCCACCTTGTTCCTTTGCCTTCTATCTGGGGACAGGAGCTAGGATCTTGTCCCCAGTACTATGAGGTGGGCAAGAGCCAGGAACAGCAGGAGCAGACTGACAGGAGCCAGCCTCAAAGTCAGCTCAAGACAGTAATGGCTGCAGTGGGGTGGGGAAGTGGTTTTTTCTCCCCTGAAAGGTTGTGAGCATTTAAACATTTTTTCAATCCTGAGTGTGTATAATGGCAAAATCCTGGCCATTTTAATCAACTCAGAACCTCAATTTATTCTCTGTTTGGGTCGCTCGAAGATTTCCACATTTTGTAAGTATTCTGTTTCTATTTTTCCCTATTTTAGGTTTCTTTTTCCTAGTCCTCCTTAATTTGAAATATAATGTCACACACTGAAGGCCCAGGCACCGTCCCACCGTGATGCATCCTGCCACCCCAGGCACACAGCAGGGCTAGGTGGTTCTTCACTGGACTGTCTTTCTAGGCAGCCCAAGCACAAGCAGCTGCTTCTGGCTGCCGCCGCTACTGGCCCCAACCTCTGGTACTAAGGGGAACCCATGCGCAGCCCAGACCCACCCTGCTTCTGCTGCAGACTTGCCTGTTCAGACTAAAGAGCTGCAGCAGCACCAGCGCCAGCAGGGCAGATGTGTGCTTGGTGCAGAGGGAAAGTGGCCCCTCCCCCTCACTGCTGCCCATCGCTTCCTGCAGCAGCTGCCAGGAGCCCGTGCACTGGGGCTGCACAATGTTGGTGGTGGTGGGAAGGTGCTGCAGGGTGCATGGGCTCCAGGCTGGTGCAGGGTGGGGCCAGGTGCTAACTGGCTATGGGGGGGCGTGCGCAGGGTGCTCCCATGCATACCCCACCATACCCACAGACCTTACACTGCAAACCCCACAACCACATCCTCCTTCACACAATCACAAACTCAACTAACACCACCCACCCACAGCCCTCCCTACATGTACCCCCCAACACACCACACACATCTGCAGTCCTCTGGGAGCCCCACTCATTTCTACCTGCACAAACACCACCCCACTCGTGCACTCACCTCCTTATGTAAACCTTGCCCCACACCCCACCACACATCCCCCAGAAACCCCATTACCCACTCATACATCCCCCAAACACCTCCCCACAACACCCATACCCACCCACCCACCTCCACACATACCCCTCCATAACCCCCACAATATACAAGAGTAAGACTTCACCTCTATATACAGAATGCAAACACACAAAACAGGACAATAATAACTTTTTTAAATAAAATTAAAATATATTATGGTGGATGTTTGATTTTTAGTATAATTTGTGGGTTTTATCCAGTTCCAAGATGGCAAACCCATTTCCAAAAGGAGTACTTCTGGGGAAAGCAGAGGGACTTTGAAAATGTCAGGTTTTAGGGAGCAGAACTTCAATCCCAAGATGGTGGCCAGGGGTGGCACTACTCTTATGGCTCTTTACAGCTCTCCAAATTCATGAAGAGGTCCTCCAGTGAAAATAATTGCTCGCCCCTGCTCTAGAGTATCTCTCTCTGAGATTGTGAACATGCTGGAGAACAGGCGATGCAAATGAAAAGGATCCAGTCTCAATAGATTAGAAAGCTGGGCTGAAGCTAAAAGATGAGGATTAAACATGACAAATGCAAGGTGCTACACCTTGAGAGGAATGATCAAAAACACAAATATAAAATGGGTAACACCTAGGTAGATGGTAGCACTATGCAGAAGTATGTGGGAGTCTTGGTAGATCATAGGCTAAGAATGGTAGATCATGGCTTAGTATGAGTGTAATGCAGCTTCACAAAAGGAAAATGAGGTTTTGGGTTGCATCTCTAGAAGCATTAGGTGCAAGACATGGGAAGTGATAGTGCCATTACTTGGCACTGGTTCAGCCTCATGTAGGTTCCTGAGTGAGGTTTTGAGCTCCATGTTTTAAAAAGGACGTACAGAACTCAGAGACAAAGTTGATAAAGAGGTTGGAAAGCAAGTCATATTTGGAGAGGCTGAACTAGCTAGTCATGTTCAGCTTGCGGAAACAACATTTAAGAAGGGACACGATAGCAGTCTTCAAATACCGAAAGGGCTGCCATAGAGAAGAGGGAAAGCACCTTTTCTCTCTCACTGCAAGAAGGAGGATCAGATCAATGGCTTGAAGTTACAGCCAAGTAGGCTTAGATTGAATTTAAGGAACACTTCTTCAATTAAAAAAGCAAGGCAATGGAATATACTGCCAAGGGAAGCGGTGGACTCTCAGTCACTAGAGGTATTCAAGGAATTGGACAGTCACTGGTCACCGGTGATTGAGGCGTAGCTGAGCCTAGTTTTGACTATGGCTATTCCCCATGCTTCTGGGATTTGAGGACTCTTGCCTGGTGCTGGGAGGGAATTTCCCTCCTGCTCTACACCCATACTTTCTATATGAGTCAAGTGGGGTTTTATACATTCCCCAGAGGTATTGGCTATTGGCTACAACCAAGGCTGAGTATTTTGATTGGATTGTGCCAGTGCTCCTCCTTTGACTTAAGGCTGCAGGTTCCTGGCTAAAGGATCTTGCCCCTCCTCTCAGAGTCAGATCAATCACCATATCTGGGATCAAGAAGGAAATCTGTTGGCATCTGTAGGGGAAGGGTGGGAGTTGCTTTCCTCTGTAGTTCAGGGTATGGCCCTCTTCCTGGGATCTATTGAGCATGTATTAACAACTTTTAGACAAGCAGGATTTTGACTGCCATCCCCTACTTTATCTGCAGCTGGTTAGGGTGTCATACCTATTGGTTGTGTGAGGGTTGAATGTGTACTTTTAACAAGGGGCTTGTATAGGAGGGTTTGGATAGGATGATCTGTGTACTTTTGACAAGGGGCTTGTATAGCAGGGTTTGGATAGGATGACCCTGCCACAGGCAGGCTGTTGGACTAAATGACCTAAGGAGGTTGCTTTCCACCCTGCTTCTCTCAGGTTTGATCCCTTATTCAAGGTCAACATATTGTTTCAGAGGGGAGGCAAAGTTGCAGTACAAGGACAGCCCCTGAGATAGGTCTGGGTCTTACCTGAGCATACAACTCCTGCTGTTCCATCATTTACCTGCATCACGAGGCTGTTCCTCTGGAGTTCCTGGAAGGCACGGTGTCTGGCTTGGGCAGGACATCAGCAGCTGGGTGACGTTTCCCTTCTCACAGCTGAGCTCAGTGACTAAAACTTCAGAACACCACACCAGTGTTACAGCAGTTTCACAGATCTGACATTCTCTGATTGTATTGTCACAAAGACCTGATTGTACTAATACAATCTATGGTTACTGCATGTACGCGTTTTCTGATAAAGCGTTTTTCCACCTGGGGAAATAATGGTGATTTCTCAATAGTGAGGCCCTCTGCAGCGCACTTCCATTTTGTGCTGTAACTCTGGCAGGACTGCAGTGGAAACCTGCCTGGTCTCCTGGTAGCTCACCTTTCCCCCTGCCTCTGTGCTCCTACATATGGAGGTCTAAGGGGTGGCCCAGACTCTCCGACTCCACTGGGATGAGCATGGTGTCAGGGGGCTGAGGGTTTCCAGGCTTTCCAATGGCTTCCTTTATGTGGGAAGCCGTGGATCTAAGACTCCTGGAGCTTCCACAATTAAAAATATAATTCTGCTGAGGAACTTCATTTCTGTACAACTGTCCACCTCTGGGCTACACCTCCTCATTTCAAGCAAAATATTTCAAAACTACCATATTTTTTGCAGATGGGAAAGTCAGCTGTTCTCCATGACTTCATGGCTTCTTATAATCTGCCTGCTCGCTCCTAAACTCTTTGTTCCAAATGTACTAAGGACTCTCTCTTCTTTTAATGGTCTTGATGTTCCACCAGTCGTTAACCATTGTTCTGCAATTCACCTGTCTATGAACTGCTCCTCCTAATAAAGCTCATATTTCATAGCCCTCCAGATTGCAACGAGTGAAAAAACAATGAAGTTATATTTGTTTTTGCTTCAATCTTAAACTGAATATACAGCCCCATATGAGAACAGCATATGAGAACAGATTCTAGTTTATTCTTAACTGGAGAAAAATGTGTTGTTTTATATGTAATGATGGGCCTCACCACCTGCACCCCTTTTTCAAAGTGTTAGACTTATTCATGTTTGGCTATTTAAGTCCTGCTTCAGAGGCAGAGGGGGCAGTCTGACCTGGCTAGGAGGCAGCTCGCTGCTGGGAGCAGAAAGAAGCAGTGCAGGGAACTGAGAATTGATGCTGGCTGTGCTGGCTGGAAGAGATCCCTGTTCTGAGCAGAGAAGCAATATAGGAGACTGGACAAACTGTGTAAGGCCCAGCAGGACCCAAATTGGGAGAAGGCAGCAGAGTGGAGCAGAAGCCTGGGGAAAGCTCAGAGGAAGACCCCCAGCTGCATGTCATTGTGTTTGGGTTTTGCTCTTGTCATAGCTTGCAAGACCTGGGAGTGGCTGAAGGGGATGAAATGAGGTCACTAAAGAACCCCCATACAGGATTAGATTATTGATGAATTGTTGTCCTGGGAACAATGACCAGGCTGTGAGAGCCTGAAACATGGTGCACTCAGTATCCCCATTCTGGTTCCCTGGAGGGAAGCATAAAGAAGTCATCCAGGGTTTGCTGGATTTTGTAGGTTGAAACAAATACTACCCACACAGATATATCCTGTTCCCTAAACCTAGGGTGACCATTAGGGGAGTGTGAAACACCATCATTTCATTTTGACCTGTATTTCACCATTTCAAAGGGATAGGGTTGTCTCTTATTTCGAAGCACTGTCCTTTTTCGTTTAGTCAAATCTATCTCGCTGTTTTGATGGGTGTCAATGTTGCGCCCATAGGCTATAATGGGGATTCATTAAAATGCCTAAAATTTGTCATTCCTTGCCTGATTTGAATGAAAATTGCTGAGATGGTAGCCCTTTATGAGGGAATGAAAGCTGCCAAGTTTCAAGGAGATAGGCGCAGAGGTTTCTGGGAAACTATACCTCAAATTGATCAACCCAAAAGTGCTGACACTTGCTGGCAACAGCAGCCTCCTGTCATACAGTGCGCAGATCTGGGGGCTTGCACCCCCGAGAGGAGTCCAGCACCACCCCACAACCCTTCCGGGGGTGCAAGCCCCCAGATCTGTGCCCCAATGAGAGGAAGCTCAGGCTGCTTGTTCCACCTGGGACTGGCACTGGGTGTGGTCTGCACCCACCACCAGAGATGATTGCTGCTGACGCAGCCTGAGCCTTCTGTCAGCCAGTGCAGATCTGGGGGCTCGCACCCCCGGGAGAGCTGCAGGGCTGTGCTGGACTCTTCCCAGAATGCAAGCCCCCAAATATGTGCAATGGAGGATTCCACTGCCACCTGGGACCGGCAGCAGCAGCAATCTTCCCTGGCACTGGGTGCAGGCTGCGCCCAGTGCCAGTCCCAGGCAGCAGCCTGAGCCTCCTGCCATCCGGTGCAGATCTGGGAGCTCACAAACCTGGGAGCAGTCCAGCACAGCCCGACAGCCCTCCCAGGGGTACAAGCCCCCAGATCTGTGCCCAGGTGAGAGGAAGCTCAGACTGTATGTGCCACCTGGGATGGGTGCCCCTCGCTTGCCTCCCTGCTCAGCTACAGCCCCCCGCGCACCTTCCTGCTTGGCTACTGTCCCCCACTTAGCCCATGGCTGGCTCCAGGCCCCCTGTGCTCCCCTCCTCATTGCAACCCCCGTGTGGCTCCCACCCAGATACAGCCACCCCGCCCCGCCCCCCAACGCACGCTCCTCTCCCAGATCCAGCTCCCCAGCATGCCCCCCACAGCTTACCAGCATCTGCAGCCATGCTCTTCACTCCCTGCACTGAGGGGGGCAGCGTAGCTTGGCCTGAGGTGCCAGGTATTGTCCACCTTTTCCACAGCATGCTGCTGTTGCCCAGCTTGGTGTGGTGCACAGGGCCATGTGCTTTCAGGCAACTCCGGACTGTCACTTGGGGCAATGCACTGCTCGCAGGGACTGCCAGCCACATTGTTCTGGGTCCTGTGTGCACAGAAGTGGTGCACAGGGCTCATGCACACAGGACCCGGGCCAGTGTGGCCAGAGGTCCTGGCAAGTAGAATGAAGCCCCAGGTGAAAGCCCAGAGCTGCCTGAAAGCACATGGTTGTGCGCCATACCACACCAAGCTGGGCAGCAGCAGCATGCTGTGGCAGAGGTGGTGGATACCTGGTGGCTGGGGCTAAGCCACATTGCCCCCTGCCATGCAGGGCTGGATCCAGGTGGTGCATGGGTGGGCCTAGAGCCAGGAAAAGAGTGCAGCTGGGCAGGGGCTGCAGCCAGGTGGGGACTGGAGGTGGGCTGGGAGGTGAGCAGGAGGTGCCGGTCCCAGGTGAGATAAGCAGGCTGAGCTTCCTCTCACTGGGGCACAGATCCAGGGGCTCAGACCCCCAGGAGGCTGCCGGGCTGTGCTGGACTCCTGCCAGGGGTGCAAGCCCCCGGATAAGTGCCAGGTGACAGGAGGCTCAGGCTGCCACCTGAGACCAGCGCTGGGTGCAGCTGTGCCCAGTGCCAGGGAAGATTGCGGCTGCTGCCAGTCCCAGGGGGCAGTGGGCAGCTGTGCCCGGTGCAGGGGAGGATGGCGGCGCCTGCCAGTCCCAGGGAGCAGTGTCAGCCTCCTGTCATCCGGTGAGCAGACCCGGGGGCTTGGACCCCTGGAAGGAGTCCAGCACAGCCCTGCAGCCCTCCAGAGGGTGTGGGCTCCTGGATATGTGCACTGGATGACAGGAGGCTGCCACTGCTGCCACCTGGGACCGGTGCTGAAGTCAAGTAAGCCCGGCTTCAAGCTCAAAATGTTTTGAAACTTACAAAATGTTTCAAGTGCCCTTGTTTCATTTCAAAGCTGTTTGTTGCATTTCTATTTCACTGTTTTGAGCTCAAAACACATCAAAACAAAACACCCAGTGAAATTTCACACAGCCTTAGTGACCATATGTCCCATTTTAGCTGGGACAGTCCTGGATTTCACAGGTTCATCCTGGCTGGTTGTTGAGAATTTTAATGGGCATCCAGGAAACACAGGGGAATTGGGCACAGTCTCACCAGGATTTAGAGTGGCTCAGTGCACCTTGCAGGCAGGAAGGCAGGCACTGCTGCCTGCCAGGCATGCATCCCCATCCCTGCCAACTTGTGAGAACAAGCAGCGGTAGAAGGGGGTCAGTGTCCTGGATTTCCTAGATGATAACCCTGTTTCCCAGATTTCCCACACCTCTAGTTAGTTTCTCTCCACTCCCTAATTAGTCCCCCTGTCCTAGAAGTGTGGGCACTGATCAATGTGCTCCAGATGAGCCCTCCCCAATGCTGAATGAAGGAGATGGATAACTTCCTGGAACTTGCAAGTGACAGTCTTCTTACCATATGCACAAACTGCACTATTTTTTTTAATATACTTTTTTCTTCATTACATATTATACAGATTATGTCCATTTGACATGAAAAATACACCTCATGAACAGTAGAAATAAGTAGTTATTCATGGACAACTGGTTGTAATTACAAATACCTTTGGAGTAAAAGAATGACCTGGCTTTATTCCACCTGTCATATACAAGGCAATGCTCACTCCCTTTTTAAAACACTTGTGCCCCCCCTCCCCCCCGTAGAAACTATAGAAGTCTATATCCATATTCCAGTCATGTAAACTAACTATGAAAACCCTGTCCTCCCAGTTGGAAGATAATGCAGCATCAACACCAGCACTAGAAAACTGCACTGCGCCCAATTTGCAAAAGTGCCAATACATCAACTACAGCCTGTTTGCTGTTAATTAACACTGTCTTCCATGCTGCATGAAAAATATTAATTTAACGAAAACATAACACCATTACTGGCAAGAAATGAAAATTATGTGATGATAAATTAAAAAGATAAACAATTCATCTAGGGCGTGGAAACCCTGTATGTTGAAAAAAAGATACTGCACGCACACACACATACCCAAGCGACATGTCAGTGATATATGCAAAATGCAAGCACACATTTATGTTTAAATTTCTATGTGCATGTATATATAGACAAAAACTGACACATGCACATGTAAAAGTCTTATTATGCCATTCTTGGACTGAAAAATTAAAATATTTAAAGAACAGCATTCTGAAATTATCTTGTATGTTATATTTAAAAACTTACAACCAAACATTTGAATATAGGACAAACTGTTTATGTTCGCAACACACAATGGGATTTTTATAACCAAAAATTAAATTCCTGATGATTGAATGGGTCTAAAGCCTTACAATGTCATTTGTTGTTGTTGTTGTGTTTGTTTTTTTTAATACTGAAAAAAAGTATTAAAGGAAAACAGTTAAAATGGTGGCCATGCCTCCGTTTTGTCTACAAGTTTCCCACAAAGCAGAAACTACAAGCATAGAAAGAGTTTTGGCTTCATATTTCTGGAGTCATTTTCTGCCACTACATTTGTCACCAGCATAAACTGGTCAGCAATCAGGTCCCTCTGATATAGTGGTTAGTGTGCAGGGAGTGTGATAGGGACAATGAGGGGCTCTGTTCTGGCCCCTGGAAGCTCACACATGAGGAAGGGCTGCCAGGCCTGCTCAGAGGGCAGTAGTCACTCACACCTCCTTGCACATTGTAGACTCTGCCTCCTATCACTAGGCGCAGCACCAGGGCCCCAAACACCAGTGCAAGAGGCTGCCATCTTCCCTATCACCTGCTCATGCAGTTTAATATCAAATGGCACAAACCAACATTTCTGGATTTAAACAAAAAAAAAAAATAGAATGGACTCTCTCTTGTGAAAAAGATTGGTATTTCTGATGCTTAGTTTAATTTGGGATGAAAAGGGATTATTAGAATGTTGTCACGGGTGGAGAAAAAAGGCTTGGTAAAGTGCGGTCAATTCATCAGTGTCAGGGGCAGAGATAGGCTTAGAGCACAGGAGCAAAACCCATTTTAATCGCCATGGGGTTAGATACTCTATATGACATTGCCCCCTATACACCATGACTGTGAGCAGGGATGTCCAGGAGGTCTGAGGGGAAGAATGAAATGGCTCCAGCTAACAAGCCTCAAACAGAATTGGCTTTGAGTACATAGAAATTGTGCCAGCAGGGCATGTCAGGCATCTTTCCCACACTCTGGTGCTACCAAGAAGGAAACCAGCACCTTGGCTCACTTCTACCCTACCAGGCATTTTGCAATCAGGTCATCTTGATTTTCATTTCCACCCTTCATGCATCTAATTCCCCTGAAAAAAGTGGGTGGTAGGGGAGGCAAGGGAAGCATACAGGGACCTGTGACCCTGTGTTATCTGGTACCCAAAACATGATGTACTCAGGTGCTAAATCGCTCTTCTGTTGAGGAGTCATGGTTCAGCCTGAATAGGAAGGCACTTATTAAAGAGAGTCACTACAAGAACATGTAAAATAAAGCTTCCACACAACTCATGGTCCAGCTTTGCCTCCCTCATTTGCCAGGTCCCACCTCCTGCTCAATCTTACATACATCCCACAGAGACATTTAGTATTACAGCAATATAGTGCAAGTAATATAGCACAGCAGTCCCTTCCCAGAGGCATCAGAAAACACTTCTATGCCCCTCCAAAACACTGCAAGAACTGCAGTCAGATCTGTTCCAGGTCCTTCACCCTGAACTTACCCAGGTAACCCAAAACTCCTGTTGCCATCAGCAAAACCAGACAGAGAATCCCAAGAATAAGTGAAGTAGGCTGCCGGCGAACAGATGGAGCTGAAGTATCTAATAAGAGAAATACAAATAATATGACATAATTAGGCCTGTGTGAAGCAGCAAGTACGGACTTTAGATTCAGCTGATTTGGAGGGACAGTGATTCGAATCACTGTCCCAATTTGATTTGGCTGATTCAGATTTGGAAATTTGGTGCCGATTCAGAGATTCGGCCATAGACTATAACGGTGAATCATTAAAATACCTAAAACTTTGTGGGTTTTTTTGCAGATTCAGATGAAAACAGCATTTGGATGAAAATAGCCCCTTCGGAAGGCATGAAGCCGCTAAGTTTCAAGGAGATAGGTGGAGGGGTTTCTGTGAAAGTGCACTTCAAACTGTTGAAAGCAAAACTCATATCACTTGTGTTTGTTAAGGCAGAGCAGGATGAAAACAGCAGGGGTGGTAGCCCCTCGTACAGGCATGAGGCCTGCCAGGCTTCAGGCAAAGTGGTGCAGGCCTTTCTGTGAAAGTGCACCTCAAAGTTCGAAAGCAAATACAAAAAAGGAAATGGGTGAGGAGGGTGACACTCACTCCATCTGCACATAGAGTTTGGGAACCCCAGCAGTGGGAGGTGCACCTTGAGTAACACCAGCTGCTCCACCAAACCAGGATCCAAGGAGGTACAGTGGGGAGTCATATCACCAGAAATGCTGAACACCCTCTCACTTGGAACACTAGTGGGTAGACAGGACTGGTGTTCCCAGGCAACCGTGGCCAGATCCTGCCACACCTGGCTGTGGGTTGCACCATAAGCCAAGGGGTCACAATGCAGCAGTTCCACATCCTTGGTGAAACAGATAGCCAGAGGCCTCCACACTACCTGCCGGATGGTGGGGACTGGTGCCTCTTGACACATTTAAACCATGTCCTTAGCCCACATCGATAGTGGCTGTGGTGGAGGAGATTAGCTGGTGGTTGGAGTGCAGGCACAAGAAGTGGATCCCCCTCTTCCATGTCTCCTCCACCTCCGCCCTTCTGTCTCTGTGACTATTCACCAGCACCTCCATCCAGTGATCGAGGGTCTTGCTGGTGCAGATGCTCCTCTTCACCCTCAGGTTCCACATGCCCGCCAGCATGTGGACTGTACTAGACCGCAATGGATGATTAGCTGGTGGTTGGAGTGCAGGCACAAGAAGTGGATCCCCCTCTTCCATGTCTCCTCCACCTCCGCCCTTCTGTCTCTGTGACTATTCACCAGCACCTCCATCCAGTGATCGAGGGTCTTGCTGGTGCAGATGCTCCTCTTCACCCTCAGGTTCCACATGCCCGCCAGCATGTGGACTGTACTAGACCGCAATGGATCCAAACTTTTTTTGATGCCCTACTTTAGCTGCTTCACCAGTGTCTGCACCTCTGGTGAAAGTGACTTGCCCCAGCCAGGAACATTGATCCCCTGGAACTTCTCCATTTTATTCTCAAGCTCCTTCACTATGGGGATCACCTGGCTAAGGAGGGCATCACCAGTGTTGAGGCTCTTGATGGCTTTGAGAAACAGCTTGAGGATGACCAATTCTGGGAGATGGTATCCCACTCCATTTTTGTTTGTTTGTTTTGGTTAAGGGGACTGCTGATCCGAAACTTCCCAAGCAAGGCCAGCTTATGGATGGCTTTGTGTTGCTTCACCAGCCTTTCCAGCATCAGATATGGGGAGTTCCACCGAGTCTCCTCATACTGCATGATTTTGTGCTGTGGGATGCTCAGCTCTGCCACTTTGTCCCGCAGTATCTTCCCCCCTTGATGCTCTAGTGGAAGTCTGTCACCTTCCTGCATTTTGAAATGAGCTGGCTGATAGTGACGACACTGTCACCGGGAGCCCTATTCTCTCCCAAGATGTCCCTCACTACAAGGTGGAACTTCTGTGCCACACAGTGGATGCCAACGAAGTCGGCATCACACACTGCCTTGACCATATTGGCTGGTGAGCTCACCCTGCCAAATAAGCCACTCCTGTACCATGTGGTTCATGGCCATCATGATCTCCCTTGCTGTGTGGGACTCATCCATCACCTCCATTTGAAGGGGAGCCCACCGACACCCTGACTGATCACACCAGTGCCCTGTGAGGGACAGGTAGGCATGATCTCCATCCCAGCTGCTCCAGATGTCCAAGGTGAAGTGCAAGGCTTGTGCAGGTCCTCCCTCATGGACTCCCCGAGTGCCTCATAAAGGGGGGGG